TGAGTTGAGTTGAGTTGATCAGAGAGCAAGAGAAGTTGGACTGGAGAAAGAGGAAAGATTTGAGAGAGACTTGAGAGAGAAGTGAAGTGAAGCGGAGTAGAGCAGATGGAACTGAAGCTTGCTAGATTGAAGCTGTGCTTGCTGTTGTTCTGATGTCGAAGGGGGCAGCTCAGCCTTAAATAATTGCGAATGGAACTTTTCGTGTAGTTGGGAGCAAAGAAGTGGTGGTGGTGATAAAGTGAAGTGACTGCGGTTGATTGACTGTGCCGCAACAACGCCGTCTACGCCAGACGCTCATCTTCGAGGGACGAGGCCGGCGAGTGACTCAACCCGGCCAATGCCATTTCACAAAAAAAATTGGTTTTTTAGAAAATTAAAGAGGGGCAAAAAAAATAATATTCATTGTTGTTGTGGTGGTGGAGGTGGTGATGGTGGTGGTTGTCACCTCGACCGCAACAGCAACCGCAACAGCAACAGCAACACAACAGCCCCCCGACAGGAGAAAGGAATGGACTGACAGTCAGAAGAAAGTTCGACAAGGAACGGGCCACGAACTACGCTTCTCTTTTCCACTTCCTGGCGCAGCCCTCCTTCACTGCCCGGACCAATATGAACCGTTGCGCCAGTCGAACAGTTGGTGATTCGATCTACATCACATTCGGATCACCCTCCAGAAAATTCTAAATAATATCCAACAGATGACTCAGTCGGCCTCTCCTTTTCCCCTCCCAGCAGACTGGCGGTTCTTGCGAATCAGAGAGCCGAATATCCCCTCACCGTCAGCCTGGAAAGACATCTTTTCCCAGACAGGCAAATGGACGCGTCCCGACTAGCACGGTCATGCATCGGCCGAAATCGATATCATGCTCGTCTGGGGAGAGAGCGGTGCATTAGACTTCGGCGCCGGCATCATGGGAGTGGTTGACATCATCTTCACGTCTACGCCTTTCCTGCCGCAGGGAAAAGGCCCGTCACATATGCAGGCCCAAGCCCAACAATCGAATTATCAAATCAAGTTCCCGTCCACGACCAACAGGGCTTCATCTGCTGGAGGTCATGCCGCAGTCCAGAATGAGCCCTGGCCGGTCCATCTGACGAATGCCAGTCGCAGACGACCAAGGTTCGCCCATCAACCGACCCGGACTGGCGACGGCCCCCCTCGCCATCATGTGTCCTTGACGCCCGGTGGAACGGGGTGGGGAGCCAGGATGGCATGGCCACCGCAGTCCAATATGATCGCGCCGATATCAGAGTTCGGGAAACTCCCCACCAAGCTGGTCTGACCGTCGGCACCTGGCGCTGTTGGTCCGGGAGCACAGCGCGGGATTTAGTTCATCGATGAGCCACCTGCTCCTGTCAGGGGTCGCCGCAGGTCCTGGGCATATGCTCCTGTCCCACGTCAACAGCAACAGGCTGCGGGTCGCTGGGATCAACAAGGTGTGTCAGAGCCCGGGCCCGACATGCGGAAGCTAAAGAGATGAACATGCAAGAACTGCTGCGCCTTCACAAGTCGTTGGGTCAGTGCTTTGCAGCGGCCAATGTATGAACGCCAGGGCTTAAACGCAGTTGGTGATATCACTGATTGCAAAAGCCTGAACGGAGCCTAACTTGCTCCTCTCTTTTTTTTTCTTTGTTGGGATCGCACGGGGGGGCAGAAGGTATGACCGCAAAGGCATCCTGTCGTCTCCACGGCGCTGGACTGGCGTTGGTGAGATACTGAGGCAGGTTTGCTAGAGTCAAGGCTAACTTGGTGATTCGGCAGTGCCAGACGATTTCCGCCTATCGAATGACCGGAAATGGCGCCCTCAAGTAGGCTGAGAGGGAAAACATTGGGCTGAGACCAAAGATGATGGGTTCAGATTTCCGGCGCAGGCATCTGCATGTTTCACTGTGCCTTTTCAGCCGCTGGAAGGCCACGCCACGCCATTCGAGCGATACGGCGCAGGGCTCCGGGGCGCTAAAACGGCGAGGGACGACAGGTTTGCGCCGTGGGCACGGCCTTCTTTTAGCCGCCGTTGGCTCCCGGACATGAACGGCGCCGTTCCTGGCTGGGGACGGTTCCTGACGGGGCTCTGTTGATGAGCTGCTGTGGTTGATTCTGGAGATTCTGGAAATTCTGGAGGATTGCCTCGCAGTGAGGGTTGGCCACGTGACTGTTGAGCCGCGTGGTTGGCAGTCCTGGCTGTCTTTCTGTTTCTGCCTCCTCGCTCTTCGTCTGCTTTCCAAAGGCTGGCTGCTGGTCTTTTCAGATGGTCTCCCGTCAGTCTGAACCACTCCCTCGTCGACCATGGAAGAATCCCTCCCACGATGATCTCCGCCCGTTAAGCTTCAGCTTCCGACGGACTGACTACTCAACCCATGCTGGTTGCTGGTTGCTGGTTCTAGCGGGTTCCTTGGCTTCTACCAGGCAAGGGGTCGGATCATTAGGACCGGATCTGGCCTGCTCCTTCAGGCCAATTCAGGTTCTAGAAGGAGATCTCCGGGGGCAACTCTGCTGCTGCTGCTACTGCAGGACTGCCAAGCAGGCAAAGAAGCAACGCGGGGTCATGTGGCGCCCGACAAAGAATGCGGCGACTTGGCAAAGCCCAAGAATGGGCCTCGTTCCTGAGTCCTGACGTTGTCCGCTGCTCGCCTCCCTGAACTCCCTCAACCCACGTTCCTCAATCCTCGTCACGGGACGGTTCGGTCTCATTCAATAGTGGCTTGGCTCGCTCTTGGTCGCTGATCATCCGAGGCTGGATGCTTGTACTGGAACCCCAGGCCCAGGTGGCCCAACCAGAGGCAGGCCGCGCGCTGGTCGGGTATGACTATTGCCAGAGCCAAGCGATGCAAAGGAAGGGGATTTGCATGATGACGTTCTCCGCCCCTCTTGTGTGATAGTCGGTTTCGCCGGCATGTGAATTACAGCTGGCCGGCCCACCGTCGGCTATGAGGAATTGGCAGCCACTGCCTGTCCCTCCACTTATCTGCTTCTGCAGCTGGGCTAGACTCGGTAGTAGTTTGCCTGATCGACACCATCCCCGGTCAACCCCTCTTCCTGATAATGGCTTGGCTGAGCTCTCAGCTATAAAGCTGGCCTTGCCGACGAGATTTGTCTTCTTCCAACTCACAACTCTCTACTCAATCTCTCCTCGAGCCAAACTCCAAGACTCTATCTCTACTCTACTATCTACTCTACTCTACTCTACCACTACTACCACCAAACCTCACCATGTACACCTACACTGCCACCTCCAAGTTCCTCGTGCTGGCCCCTACCGAGTCGGGCCCTGCCACCGCAACTCAAGGCCGTGAGCGCTCCAGCAGCCAGTCCTCCACAAGCAGCAGCGAGCAGCAGCGTCCGGGTCTCAGCCGTCTGCCCAGCGGATTCCTCTACCTGGGTGTTGACACTCGCAACAACGCCCCCAGCGTCTAAGTGCGACGAACCTATCCGACGAATCGCGCTGGCCACGATTTCTTAGCTCTCACCTCATCGCCTACGGGGCTAAAGTCTCACCCCATTGGCGGCAGGAAGATCACTACAGTTCTTGTTATGAATATTTGACGGTATTGGACGAGCGACCACTCGGGGGGACGAAGTGCGGGGCCCGGTGTTTTCCTTTTTTTTTCAGGTTGCTTTTTTATCTTCGTATGCCAAGTCATACTACTCCATGTCAATAGTCAATAGCTTTTGCCCATGATGACGATACCTCCTTGCGGCTGCCTAGACAATATGAATGTTTGCCAAGGGCAGTTGATATGTGCCAAGCATTGTGCCATCAGATAGACTGCATTCTGTTCCACAGCCAAGCCATGATAGAGCTGCCAAGTAGGCTGCCTAGTGATAGACATTATTGATAAGCCTGGTGTCGCCTCCTGTCGATTAAATTAAAGTACGGAGTCCGGAGTAAAAGGGACCGACCGATAAGGGATAGCTGGTCCGGATCTCAGATCTGGCCGGCCGGCCAGCCCCATCCATCCCGGTGAGATGCAGTTGCAGTTGCAGTTTGCCCTTGAGATGATGAGATACATCCATCCCCCCCCCGTCTACGTCTAACGTAATGCAAACGTGCCTGTTCAGCCCCCCCCCCCCCCCCCCCCCCCTCCTCTCCTATAGTCAACCCTACGGAGTATATTCATTCTCCCCCTCGCACCAAGAATCAAAAGAATGCCCAAATCAACCCAATAAACCTAACTCCAAGCCCATAATCATAATACGAATATTATATTCCCTTATCACCCCGCCAGGTAGGTAGGTCCCCAACCCAACCCTCCAAATAATTATCCCCTAGAATATCCCCTTCTAACCGAAACACCTAACTAGCTACATAAGACCTATCTCATCCCAATCACAGCCCACCCACCCACTCACCCACATCTGCACACATGCACACATGCATGCATTACACACAACCCATGCCAACCCTGCAACTGCACACCGGTCCGGACTTGGCTTGTCCATGATACATAATACATAATAATCCATCGGTGGACAGGGTATATTCCATCCCTTTCGTCCGAATTGCTTTTTTTATTTTACCTAACCCTTGCTCTGGAGTCTCGGAATTGCGTGTCGCGGGTGCAGATAAGTTCGGTCTGGACTCGGGGCTTGATGGATGGATGGATGTGGTTGATGGAATTAGCGTGGGGGAAATTTCCGGTCGGGGGTGGGTGATGATGGACTTGGTTTTTCTTGATTTAGGTTTTGGGTTGGGTTTGCGTTGGTTTGTTTTGTTTTCTTCGGTTGATATGATGGCTAGGAGGTATTTGGGATGGGGAGATAGAGGGATAAGGGGGGGGTTTGGTGGTGGGGGGTGAGTGAGTGAGCAGGGACTCGAGGCTTATGCTTACGCTTATGCTTACGCTTAATATATTTACCTAGGGCTGGTCTCGTCTTATTCCATTCCATAATCGGTTTATTGTACCTATCTATAGCTATAGGTGATAGATGGCGATCTAGATACGGAGTACCTACTCCGCAACTACCCACCCACACCCATCAAAAAACCAAAAAAAGAAACTGACAAGAGTGGGATTCGAACCCACGCCATCAAACGATGATCAGGAAGCTGTATGAAAGCTGAATTATTAAGGTGGACCTTAACCTGACGCCTTAGACCAACTCGGCCATCTTGCCTTGAGATGTTATTTCGTTGCGTTTTAATGCTAAATCAGCCGGGGGCAGACGTAGGGTGTAGGGCTTACTCTGTCTGTACCTATACAGAAGAAAGTGGGAGTTTGGTGGGAGACATCACTTTTTAGTTCTAACGAATTTACATAATACTCCGTAAATGCTTTGCTTTATGTAATGATACTTGTTCGTGATGGGAAATTCAGTTGGAGATGATTATGGTCGTGCAGTGAATAATACTACACGTATATCTCATCCTCACCACTACAACTCCAACCCCATACTACCTACTACCTATCTGCTTCCATCCATCTACTACGGAATACCTACACAGTAGGTGAACTACGTAACTTCCCTTCCCCCGAACCGCTAAATTACATCAGTACTACCTAAGCGCCGCAATAAAATAAGTGGACCCAACCTAACCCTGAAACTAGCGCCATCGCCCACCCATCCATTCATCCATCCATCACGCAATCCAATTCAGCTAGACACCTGCCTATCTATCTAAATCCACACCGACGGTTAAACAAGGCAATACTATATTTATTATCTGCTTACTTTACCCGTTCTGCCCCCCCCAATTAATAATACATAAAATGGAGCAGGGTTTCATCAATCAAGGCAAGATGGCCGAGTTGGTCTAAGGCGTCAGGTTAAGGTCCACCTTAATAATTCAGCTTTCATACAGCTTCCTGATCATCGTTTGATGGCGTGGGTTCAAATCCCACTCTTGTCAGTTCTTTTTTTCTTTTCTTGTTTTTTTTTTTTTTTTGCTTGGGAGGGAGGTTAATTGTTCTATCATACACCAGTTGGTTGGTATTCATTGGTTTGGTTTGGTTTGTTTTTGTTACTATAGATAGAATAGATAGATGGATAGATAGTATTCAATCTAGAGTAAGATGTCATATTACTA